AGAGAGAGAGAGAGAGAGAGAGAGAGAGAGAGAGAGAGAGAGAGAGAGAGAGAGAGAGAGAGAAGGTTAACCCTTCTGACAGATGAGTTGGTGAAAGTCCGACGAGACAGTCTAGCACAGTCATGTTTAAGAGAGAGAGAGAGAGAGAGAGAGAGAGAGAGAGAGAGAATCAGATGAGTTGTGTATAGAGAACACCCACACACACTCTACACACACACACACACACACACACACACACACACACACACACACACACACACACACACACACACACACAGAGTATACCTCTTGATCGCGCTGGAGGCTCGCTTCGGTTCTCCAAGCTGAATGTCTCTGCCATTGCGACAATGTTCAAGCAGGCAAACGCTTCTCTCTCTTTGACAATAAATAAATAAATAAAGTGTAAAATAAATAACTGAATGAATAAATAAGAGTAAAAAAAATGTTCATCCAATGGAAGTGATCATTTCGTAGGTCATGATGACAATCTCGAACCTGAAACGATGTTTTCGCTCGCGCCAACCGGTACGTACCTGAACGATGTTTTTCCCGCCCCGACCGGTCCGTACAGGCACACAATGTCTCCCACGCGTGCTACAGCAGCCAATGCCTTCGCCAATGCCACGGTCCCGTCCTCTGTCCTCAAGACGAATCTACCAAGAATCTTCCCATCATTAGTCACTCCATTGGCCAGTCGCTTCCCATCGGTCAAACCAGAACCAGGACCAGAACCAGGACCAGGAACAGAACCAGAACCAGGACCAAGAACAGGACCAGGAACAGAACCAGGAACAGGAACAGGAACAGGAACAGGACCAGTTCTCGTGATATCTCCCTCAGCAGCGCTGTTGTTTTCCAAAGATGCTATCTTTCCAGATTGTGTGCTGTGATTGACCGCAAGAGCTTTCCCGATTTGGAAAAGTCGGCCAAACCACCGATTTCCTGAACAGGAAGTAGAAGACGAAGATGCAGCGCCGCCGCCAGTGGTGCGCATCACCGTCGATCCGGATCGGGATATTCTCGCTCGAGATCTCGATCCAGATCTCCCACATTGATCGACAATGGAGGGAAAAGCCGAGCAATGCATCGACAAGCGAGAGGAGGATGACCTTTCCAGCTTCGAACAGCCATGTTGAGTAGCAGCAGCAGTAACGAGATCGGGACAGTGACGACCGGTCGAAGATCGGGATCGCGATCGAGATCCCGATCGGTAGCCGTCATCAAATAATGATGATGATGATGATGATGATGATGATCTCTGACGTCGAGGATGACACACGTCGGAGATCGGGACCGGGATACCTCTGATGATGGTGTCTGGTCTCCTAATACAATCAGCCGAGATCTGAGAGCAGCACGACGGAGACCTCCTCCCTGTCAGCAATTTGGCGCCAATCCGCGAGATGGCGCCAGATCGAGACATCATGGCGCGAGATGCGCTGCACAATCCGTGGCGGGAAAATGATGACGTCATCGCTGCGACCATTAGGGTTTTTTTTTCCCTTTTTTTTTTTTTTTTTTCCCCTGGTGATGATCAGTCAGGAGCAAGCAGGAAGGAGAGAATCCATGATTTTCTTAATTTTTTATTAGTATCTTTTCACACACAACCCGCAAATCTGCCCTCCCAATCCCCCTTCCCCTCCCCCTTCCCCTCCCCCCACCAGACGCGCGAGCGAATCTGGGTCCTGCGCGCTCTTAGCCGTTGGTGGAACACGTGGTGGATTTGTAGTAATATAATACTATAAAGATGATTAGATCAATCCGAGTTCACGTGTTCGAAAAAAAATTGTTGTCCAAAAAAAAAAAAAAAAAAAAAAAAAATTGTTGTCGTCCTCCGCTATTGCTTCGCCTTTCTTCCTTTGCTAATCTGTCTCTCTGTGATGATGATGCCCGATCTTGACCGTCCGTTCTAATTCCCCTCCTTCCTCTCCCCCTCTTCTCCCCTCCCCCTCTCCCCCTCTTCCCCTTCCCCCTCTCCCCCCCCTCTCCCTTCACTACCGCCCTCTCAGCTCAGTGGAAGAAGGGTCAGATAGCACACTGGAAGCCGCAAGAGCGATCTTGACTGTGCGTTCTATTCAACGGCTGAAGACGGTACACTACCGTCTTCCCGATCGTCTTCCCACGAACATAACCCACCCCGAAAACGAATGCATACAGCCGTATTTCCGGTTCGGTACGGCCACGCCCCTTGGAGAAGACCAGTGCGCACGCGCGCGCGCGCAGCTGGTCGAAACTTGTGCGTCGAAACCGAGTGACCTTCGACCAGGGGGCAAGTCCCACTAGCAGCGTTGAGCTACCTCAACGCCTGAATGTGGACGCTTTTGCGGAGATGTGCGCACAAATGGTGGTGAGTTTCCAGAACTGCAGGTCTGCACAAACACGTCCACATTCAGGCGTTGAGGTAGCTCAACGCCGCTACTGGGACTTGGCCCCAGTTGGTACACCCCAAAAAAACCTGTTGAATTTTTTTATTTTTTTTTTATAGCTCTCAATTTTCACTCAATCTGATTCACTGGAATTCGAACACCACCTGCTCAGTTAATCCCCTGGAAATCAGGGCAATCAATGCTGGCAGGATGCCTATTTTGCACAAGGAAAGTCCACGAAAAAAAAAAAAAAAAAAAAAAGTCCACCTGTTAAGTCAATCCCCTGGGGCGTGGTCCCACTAGCGAAGACGATCCGATCGAATGCCTGAATCTGGACGAGATTATGGAGATGTGCAGGAAATCGAGATTGAAATGCTTTTCTGCATCTCTGCATAAAACACATATTCTTTTTGCTAGTGGGACCTCGGCCCTGGCAATCAGGGTAATCAATGCTGGCAGGATGTCACTTTACACAAGTTCCTTTTTTTTTTTTTTTCTGATGGAGATTCAGGCGTTTGATGTGAAAAAGGGGACGCTGGACCCCATTTCCAGCAGGTGCGGCTGCCCACCAATATAGACTGGAGCATCCAGGAAGGAAACAAAAAAAAAAAAAAAAAAAAAAAAACTTCTTTTTTTTTTTTTCTTTTTTTAATCTGACGGGCCCCAGACCTGAGTTCGAATTCCAATGGAATCAGATTTTTGAGTGAAAATTCAAAATTCAGAGCTCTGAATTTCCCTGGGGCCGGTCAGAAAGAAAAAGAAGATAGAAAGCAAATGGCCAACGCTTGCTTCTGAAAACAACAACAACAACAACAACAACAACAACACCACCAACAAAATTGTGATCTTTTTAAGGGGAGGGGGGGAGAAGGGGGGGAAGGAGGAAGGGGGGGAAACAATTGAAAACCACCAGGTACGTCCACGTGTTCAGATACTCAGGACGCGGAAAAGGCTGTTGCCCTCTGAACCAAAAAAAAAAAAAAAACTTGCGTCGGGGAAGCTGCGCGTTTGTGTGCGAGTACAATTGAACACCTGAGGGGAGGAGGGGAGGAGGAGGGGGGGAAAGGAGGAAACGATTGGACACGTGGATATGCAAAAGCTTAACGAGGATTGGTTGGGCGCGTGCTGAGTTGGAAGATCGCGGCTATTCTTATGCCGCCATATCATTCTCTCGTGCTCATGAGCAAGAATCGGCTATTTCTTCTTTTTCTCCTTTTTCTTCTTCTTCTCCTTTTTCTTCTTCTCCTTTTTCTTCTTCTTCTTCTTTTTCTTCACTCAGTAGGATGGGAGGACTGTCGGCGGGCCGCAAGGCAGGGTCATGTGGAAAGCCCCCTGAGGATGATCGGAGCGGAGCGCAACCGAGCGGAACGCGTCGGGGAAATGTGCGCGGAAGCTGAGATGAGTATGCGTGGATACGCATTGAAGAGTTTTCGAAGCGTGTACGAAACGCAGTTGGCCCGTGTTTTCACTATTCTTCTTCTTTAGTGGTCAGAAACATGTACTGCTAGCAGTCTACGCCCCCCGGGGAATGTGCGCGAGAGCTGAGACGAGTATGCGCGGCTTTGTAATGAAGAACTTTCGATGCGTGTACGAAAGGCAGTTGGCCACTCTTTTCCAATATTCTGCTTCTTCTTCTTCTTCTTCTTCTTCTTCTTCTTCTTCTTGCGTGGTGGTAAGCTAGGTGGATGGGCTCATGCACGTAATGAGAACGTTACATAGCCATGACTACCGGTAGCATAACATCCACAGAACGCGCACATTCCCCGACGCATTTCGCCTGGTTGCGTTCCAGCACTTGGCACTTGTCAAGGGGCGACCGCAAGCGGGCAACTCCCAATGAGGGAGGAGGTCGCGTGTTCGATTCTTGAAATCGGATCATGGACGTGGGTTACACTGGAAGGATGGCAGGCCTTCTGGCCCATGGTATACTCGCTGCCAGACCAAAGGCAGGCCAGCTTATTGTGGCTCATAATACACCTTGACTTGCCCACTCTTCGATGCCTGCCGACCATTAGCCTACACAAGGATCCCACGCGCCGGATCTGTGGCGACCCGGGGCTAGGTCCCACTTACACGAATTAAGAGATGTCGACCGTAGATAGCACAGATCAACGGTCAGAATCTCGTAATCCGTGCAAGTGGGACCGTGCCCCCGGAGGAGACTGTGCCACACCTGTTTCTTCACTGTCCGGATGTCACGACCTCCTGGGAACAATGGCGCCAGGCCACTGCGGTTAATGGCCTCCCGTGGCCCATGAACCACGAGGCCTGGGTCCTCTTAGGTTCTCTCGTACAATCCACTGACGCTGGACCCGCTTTCCAGCAGGTGTTGCTCCCCACCAATAGATGGATCCCCCCCGAGACTGCTAGTGGTGTCTGCTCTTATCAGCACCCCTAGCATCATCTTGGGTTATTTTCTTGTTAAAAAAAAAAAAAAAAAAAAAAGGCCTCGCAAAGACCTAGGATAGGGTGTGAGAAGTACTGAGGATGGGGGCACTTTGGGCGACATGCTGCACTCGAAATGAGGTGGTGATGGAAGGTCTGTTGCCCTCACCAGCTAAGGTCATGGCCTACTGCCAGGATAGCCTGCGAAGGGCCCTGCAAGCACATTTCGCTAAGGAGATGGCCCGCCAATCGATCGATACTCCGATTCAAAATATGGTGTTCCTGCAGGTGTGGGGACCACATGACGCCCTCATTCGAGTGGATACCTCCTCCCGAAAGCTCTTGCTTGGCGCATTTCTTAGGCCCCAGTCGCCAGGTGTCAATAGCCAGCAGCAGTGGCAACTACCGTCTTCACCCGAATAGCACACCCGGTCATTATGGCGTGCATTTGGCACAGCTTTCGGTCCAGATGCAGCGATAATGACCGGGCGTTCTATTCGGGTGAAGACGGCAGGAAGTTGATAATTAAGTGTACGGATAGTCGGAGTACGATGATGGGTTTAGAATGATAGTTAGAGAACACAGGCGATATACATTCGTCAATATATTCATCAATACGTTCATCAATATATGTACCATACTGGTCATAATTCGTAGCATAGACGGCGCATAGTTCCTGTACATTTGCCATAGTCCATGTACATTTCACACACAACAAAGGAATGTCGAGAGAACCATTACCTATGCCGATGAACTTACTGATCGAACGTATTACATAAGAATTTCGAGTCCGAACATACAACAGATCCGGTGAACGGGAAGATTAGAGCTGAGGGAAAGGGAGGGATTCACTATACGAAAACAAAACGTACATTGAATCATTGACATTGATGCAGAGGGTGATTTATGCGGCAGCAACGAATTGGACGACATTGGGAAACAGGTAATACAGGATCATAGCAATCGTTTTTTTTTTTATCTTTTTTTTTTTTTTTTTTTTTAAAGCTCCAGTCTATTCGTGGGGAGCAGCATGTGCTGGGAACCGGGCCCAGCGTCCCATAAAACATACATCAGTTTGTAACACCAGGGCCATTACCCGGCTTCGGCTGAGAAAAACCTGAGACTAGAGTGCTTCAAGCACTTACGAAATCAGAAACCTTCGAAAATTCTAACGCTGATGATACTAATGGTACCAGTGATGATGACAAAGGAATATAGCTACTCATGCTGAGTCAGCCATACTGGACTCCTAATCCTGAACAACTCCAAGCCCTCCCTTACCAGGATATTGCAACTCAGGAACAAGACAAACCTATCSCCCCACTGCCATAGCTGATCTCTTCTCACTACCCAGACTAACCCCACCCCATAAGTTGTCAAGGTAGCCCCCCCTGGTTCACCATTGGCTTGCTTTCCTCCCTCAGCAAAACCCAGATCTCTCTACAAGGCCTCCCACCCCTGCCCATTGCAGGTTACAGGGCTATGCCCCAGCTCCGGCCAGCGTTGTTCTGGCATCGGCAATCCAGGAGCACAGAACAGGATCATAGCAATCGTAATATGAATGCGTAACTAAAAGGGAGGGGAGGACGGGGGAGGGGGGAGGACTCGGGTGGATCCTGGGCAGGGCCCCCCAGGAGTAGGAGTATAAGGGGGGAAGGGGGGGGGGGGGGGGGGGAAGCAGCTGGTAGCACGCAATGACTGGGTACCATTGGGAGTCTCCCGGTTGCCTGCACTGCCTGCCGAGCGCACCAATCACGTTCTCTCTGGATGTTGTGCACAAATGTTTTCTTTGCTTGCCGGTGCTAAGCAACCAGAGTGGAGCCCCCCAGAAGAGAAGGTGTGTGTGTGCGCGTGTGTGTTTTTGTTACAAATATGGGGCTCGTTTATGAGCCGCAACTTTTAGGG